AAGAAAAAGTAAAAGCAGAGGATTATTCAGCATATTCTTTGGGAGCTCATTCCACCGTAAGTAAAACAAAATGGAAACCACAAACGATTCCCTATGGGTGCGTTTTCTTGCTAGAAAAACTGTGATATGGTTTGTATGTTTGTCCTCTCCAAATCTCATGTTGAAATGTGATTCCCAGTTTGGAGATGAGGGGCCCGGTGTGGGGTGACTGGATTGTGGAGGTGGGTCCCTCATGAATGGTTTAGCACTGTCCCCTTGGTGATACATGAATTTTTGCTCTGAGATCTGGCTGTTTAAGTGTGTGGCAGTGCCCTGCTTGCTCTTTTGCTCCCATTCTTGCCATGTGACATGCTGGTTCCCTACACCATGATTGTAAGCTCCTTGAGGCCTCACCAGAACAGATGCCAGCACCACACTTACTCTGGAGCCTGCAAAACCATAAGCCAATCAAAGCTCTTTTCTTTATAAATTACCCAGCCTAAGATATTCCTTTATAACAATGCAAGAAATGACTAACACAGATTTCTGGGAGCTCCAATTAAATGGCCTTGGCCCTATATCAAAAGATAGATGATAAATGTACACTTAAAGAATTTATTTTAAATTGAAGCAATTAAGGTATGGGCCTAATTCCCCTCTCCTGAGACACTTTGTATGTTTCCAACTACTGGTCTTGGCCTGGTCAGAGGGCGTGTTGTTTTTGTTTTTGTTTGTTTAAGTGGCCAATTCCCAAACAACAGCTGATTCCTTGGTCTGTCACCTGGGCTGGACTGCAGTGGTGCGATCTCGGCTCACTGCAATCTCCACCTCCCCAGTTCAAGCAGTTCTCTGCCTCAGCCTCCCGAGTAGCTGGGATTACAGGCACCCACCACCATGCCAGGCTAATTTTTGTATTTTAGTAGAGATGGGATTTCGCCATCTCGGCCAGGACGGTTTTGAACTCCTGACCTTGTGATCTACCCGCCTCAGGCTCTCAAAAGTGCTGGGATTACAGGCTTGAGCCACCGTGCCTGGCCCAGATGGGTTGACTTTCTTCTGGAGTGTGCACACTTGAGGATTTCAGCCAGTCTCTCAAAATGTTAGTAAAAGGCTGGCCTCTCACCAAATGCACTACGCAGAAGCAGTGTCCCCAGAAGTTGCTAAGTGGCAAGTGGAGATTTGTTTCTGAGTAAGAGACAGCCTTGAATAGTCAGGAGCAGGGTAAACATTGTGGGGCTGATCCAGGAAACCCTAGGCAGCACAAGAATGCTCAGCACCATCCAAAATCTCCCACCACTCCAACTGTGGGTCCTGAGCCTAAGCCATGTAATATTAGAAAAGTAAAAGCCTCGTTGATTATGGAAAGGTAGTGTAAGGCCAGATAAGAGAGGCATCAGGTGGGGGCAGTGAGGGAACACAAATCGAAGTCTGTGATCTCGCCTACAATGAAGAACAAAACACAGAACAGTACTTCCTCTACTCCACTCCACCCGACTCCAGCTAGCACTTAGTTCATCCTTGCATTTACCAGTGCAAATACTGCTGCATTTTACCGCCAGAGGGCAACAGTGTTTTTAAAATGAAAGATAACTTGCTGCGCCAAGATCTCACATAAAGAATTTCAGAGGGAGAAGAGGTCTTAAACATCATTTAGTCCAAAGGCTTTCAGAATTTTTTAAAGCTGCAACCCACAGCAAGAACTGCCTTTCTCCTTATGACCTATGTCATACATATGTATCTGAAACACATCTGGAGACACCACCTACCCTTGCTTTTGCAATGCACTCTAATCTTTTCTAGCCTATACTATTTCCTAGTCAATAGGATCCCACACTAAATTGACTTCATAACCCTGGTGAGCCCTTAGTTTGAAAAACTCTGACTTCATCTCAGCCTCTCATCTTACAAAGGAGTGCAGTGACCCCTAGAATGGGGAGGGATCCCCACTAGCTATACTTCTCTCCCCTACCTGGCTACCTGTTCACTTCTCAGGGTCAGTTCTGGATGGATGATAGACATGCAGCAGCTGAGCACTCTGTCCAACAATGCACTGATTGGGTAGAATGCAACCTGAATTTGGAGACCAATCATGTTCTACTTCTTTTTTTTTTTTTGAGACAGAGTCTCGCTCTGTTGCCAGCCTGGAGTGTAGCGGTATGATCTCTGCTCACTGCAACCCCTGCCTCCAGGTTCAAGTGATTCTCCTGCCTCAGCCTCCCATTGTAGCTGGGATTACAAACATGCACCACCATGCCTGGCTAATTTTTTTATTTTTAATGGAGATGGGGTTTCACTATTTTGGCAAGGCTGGTCTCCAACTCCTGACCTCAAGTGATCTGCCTGCCTCAACTTCCCAAAGTGCTGAGATTACAGGCATGAGCCACCATGCCTGGCCCATGTTTTACTTCTCCCCAATGCTATGACTGCTCTTGTAATGGAGGCAGGAGTTTCTTATGACCACACTGAAAGCTCTATGTAGATGTGTCTGCGCTCTTCACTCAGACAGCCAAGTGCTTCAAAACAGAGAATCTCAAAGAGGCCTTCCCTAATGACCCTATGTTAAATGTGAATCAGGCCACACTATCTAGCCCAGTTCCTGGCACAGAGTAAGCATTCAATACAGAGCTAATGGATGAACAGACTGACCCTGAACTCACATTTTTATACTTTTCAACTGGCACTCATATCATCTTAATGACTCCTAAGACCACCTAACATTGTTGGCAGAACAGGAATTATTTCCATTCCAAACAGGGAAATAGCCAAAGAAGACTTAAATAACCTTCCCCAAAACTAATGGACTAAATGATGTTTAAGACCTCTTTAGGATTTATATTACATATATAAAATACCCAGCCCCTGCATCCTCATTGGAGCAATGCAGGGGCTGGGAATTTTTACTTTATTCACTCCGGTTTTGAGAGCTAGTTTGATTATTTTATGAAGGATGTCAAGTATTTTATTTTCAGGGGGGTGACTAAATGCATGAGAATGCAAGCTATTTTATTATTCCTTTCTAAAATGGGTTTGGAAGGAGAAAAAAAATCCCTGGGGTTGAAAACTGGTGTACCTTAGAAATCTGAGTGAGCTTGGTTTTCTGCAGGGAATCCTGCCCCCAGTAACCAGGGAGCAAATTCAAAGTCCTCAAGGTCCATTATCTCACTGCTGTATTGTACCAGGAAAACTGAACTTTTTTATACCTCAGATAACAAGGATTAAGACAGGTGACAAGAATAAGTTGCTCCTTCCTTCCTTCCCTCCCTCCCTCCCTCCCTTCTTCCTTCCTTCCTTCCTTCCTTCCTTCCTTCCTTCCTTCCTTCCTTCCTTTTTTTCCTTCCTTCCTTCCTCCCTCCCTCCCTTTCTTTTCATGGGGTCTCACTCTGTTGCCTAGGCTGGAGTACAGTGGTGCATTCTCTGTTCACTGCAACCTCCGGGTCCTGGGGTCTTGGGCTCAAGCAATCCTCCGAACTCAGTTTCCTGAGTAGCTGGGACCACAGCCTTGCACACGACCACACCCAGCTATTTTTTTTTTTTTTTTCTGTATTTTTGGCAGAGATAGTGTTTTGCCATGTTACCCAGACTGGTCTCCAACTCCTGAGCTCAAGTAATTCACCCTCTTGGCCTCCCAAAGTGCTGGGATTAGAGGTGTGAGCCACCATGCCTGGCTAGGTTGCTTTTTTCTTTATTTTTTTAAAATGGAGTTTTGCTTTTGTTGTCCAGGCTGGGGTGTAATGGCACGATCTCAACTCACTGCAACCTCCACCTCTTGGGTTCAAGCTATTCTCCTGCCTCAGCCTCCAGAGTAGCTAGGACTATAGGCAAGTACCACCACACTCAGCTAATTTTACACTTTTAGTAGAGACAGGGTTTCTCCATGTTGGTCAGGCTGGTCTCAAACTCCCAACCTCAGGTGATCCGCCCATCTTGGCCTCCCAAAGTGCTGAGATTATAGGCGTGAGCCACTGTGCCCCGCCAGATTGCCATTTTCCAGGAACACTTTGATTTAATCATTCAATAAATGTAGCCATGCCAGGTGCAGGAATAAATTTTGAGGAACGGAGGCTGAACTTCTTGAAGGACTTTCCAATGGTGTCTGCTACCAGGCGTTCGGCACTGTTAAATGAAAATCCTGCTGCCACCCTTTAAAACTCCACCTATTTATTAAATACATGCAATACTCAATTCCAGATTGAGGCTGTGTGTCTGTAGGCTTTTTGGAATATCTGGGGGTTGTTGTAGAAGGAGCAACTTTGCTTTTGGGACAGACTTGGTGTAGTTCTGTAACTTTTCTATCTATCTAATGAAGAACGCAATATAGCTGCACACACACAAGACAATACATACGTACAGCCAATGCCGTGAAATCAGCAACCGAACAATGGGTTGCAAAGTTCTCATTCATTCAGTTCATATAGAACTCTGAGCCCCGGTTCACTCACTTCTATCGGATAAAAGCAGACGCCAGCATTAGCAGATTTCTGCCCAGGCCTGCGTGTAAATTCCAACCACATTACTCTGAAGCCCTAGCTTGGCGGCCTGCAATTAACAAGAGAGTCGTCCGCGGTATGGTATCGCTACTGGCTTAGATTTTGGAAATCCCGCCCAAGACTTTGGCTGCAGTCACTAGTAGGGCGCGGGCACAATAACCACCCCCTTAGCAACCAACTCTGGGTATCTCCTAAAATTAAATGTTGCTCTTTTAACCTGTTCCTCAATTTCCCAAAGCATCTCGCTCCCAGGTATGGGAGCTGTCAAGAGCGATGCCCTGTGAAAAATTTTTGGCCTCATAAATGCTGGAAGAAGTGAGCCAGCTTTCTGCGGTGCACCGATGGGCCCATTCCACGTCCTGGGACACTTAGGGGGCGCCAGGCCCAGCTGGGATGTCCCCTGGCGTCATGTCCACCGCACCTTCCCTCGCGCATTCGCAGTTGGGCGGGCGGGCGCGCGCACCCAGGTGTCACCGCCCAGCGCCGTGCGCGGACAGCACAGGCGCGCCCCCCGGCACGTCGCTCCGCACTCACCCACGCTCGGCCGTTCTGCACCTGGGCCAGCACTCGCAGCGCGCTGGGCGAGGCCGCCCGGAAGTTGAAGAAGTGCAGCGCCGCGCGCGCCGCCTGCTGCAGGAGCCTGCGCTGGAGTCCCGCGTCCTGGGGCTGCCCAGGGTCCTGCGGGCTCTCGGACTCCGCTGCCGCCACCACCGGGGAGAGCAACAGCAGCAGCGCAATCAGCGGGGCGGCGGGGCGCGGGCCCCAGGGCCTGGACCCGGGAGCGGGCAGCGGTGGCCGGCGGGGCTGCATGGACGCGGGAAAGTTGGCTCGGCACCCGACAGACCGGGCTCGGAGCCGGCGCTGCCCGCGCTCGCTGAAATAAGGCCGCGGTGGGCCCCTCCCCTCCGCCCCCGGGCGAACGTCTGGAGCGAGCCGGGATCTCCATGGGGCCGCGCCCTTTCCACGCTTCCCTCAGCCCTCGGAGCTTTCTCTGCTCCTCCCCGCTGCCCCGGCTTGGTGCCAGGATGCGGCGGCGCCTTCGCGGCGCGGGGTCGGGTGTTTGCAGCCCAGGCAGCGCGGGAAGAGGGAAGGGGTGGGGGTGGGGGGAAAGTGGGGACACCTCCCCTGAGGGATCGCGGCCCGCCGGTGCTAGCTCGCATCGCGCCCCTAGCCCAGCTCAGGGACTCGGGTTTCCCCTGCGGTTTCGCAACCCTGGGGTTTTTAGAGGGAAACTGCTTGGGTTCTCCAAGCCTAGGGCTGTGATTTCCCAACAGGTGAAAGGGAACAGGCAGAGAAAGGGGCAGGCCGCACTGGGCATTTATGGGGCTCCTCGTGGCACAGTCACTGTGAAAGTGGGAGAAGTCAGTCGCCAGAGGGCTGGGGCTGGAGCGGAGGGTGAAGGACTGCGGTAGGGAGCCCCAGGACTCCGGAGCCTGGCGGCTGGGGACGTGCCTCCCCAGGAGGAGAGGCGCTGAGGAGGGAGGAGTGGGCAGCAGGGCAGGGTAAGATAAGGCCTGAGAGTCCCATTAGTCTCAGAAGCAAGTAGGTCATTGATAACCCGGGTGCGAGGCAGATTTAAAGGACGGGGGTGGAAGCCGGATTCCAGTGGCCTGAGGCATAGATGGGACTTCGGGGAATGAAAATGGAGGAATGGAGGCAGCAAGTGTTGGCAAGTGTTTTTTTCTTTGAGACAGAATCTTCCTCTGTCGCCCAGGCTGGCGTGCAGTGGCGCACTGCAACCTCCGCCTCCCGGGTTCCAGCGATTCTCCTGCCTCAGCCTCCTGAGTAGCTGGGATTACAGGCCCCCGCCACCATGCCTGGCTAATTTTTGTATTTTCGGTTAATTTTTGTATTTTTGGTAGAGAAGGGGTTTCACCATGTTGGTCAGTCTGGTCTCAAACTCCTGACCTCATGATCCGCCCATCTCGGCCTCCCAAAGTGCTGGCATTACAGGCGTCAGCCACCGCATCTGGTGGCAACTCTTTAGACAGGTGACAGTGAAGGGCTGAGATAGCTATTGTTTTTAAACCACAGACAAGAGAAAAAGTCCTGGAGAACCAGGGCTCAGAGGGGAGAACTGGTACTGCTAGGCACTCCCGACATCCATTTCTCCATCCTGCATTTTGTTCAGGGGTCTACTGCTGCTCCAAACCTGGACCCCAGTGCTGTTATGGGGCTAAAGGAAATCCCTTCTCCTTGTCAGTGAGTGGTTGAGGCTGGGCATGTGCCAGTTCTGTATGAGATGTGAGCAAAGCCTGCAGGCTGATGGACGTGGTGCCATCTCTGGAAAGATCCTCTCTCACTGCACTTCTTCCTCTGGGTGTTGTCTGTCCCTATCTTTCCTTCCCTCTGCAGGTAATTGTGAAACACCTACTCTGCCAGGCCCTGGGGAAATGAGGCTAAACAATCACAAACATCTCTGCCTTCCTGGAGCACACCTTCTAGCCAGGTGGGGTCCAGACACTCAATGAGGCCAAGGGAATGTGCCCTATGTTGGATGCAGTTACATGCCAGGGAAAAATATGAAGCCAGAAAAAAAGTGGGGAGTCGGGAGGTGGTTAATCTTAAAAGGTGGTTAGAGCAGGCCTGTGTAGGGACCTGAAAGAGGCATGGGAGCCAGGTGGACATGTAGGTAAAAGCACTGTAGGCAGAGGAGACACAAGTGCAGAGGCGGGGGCAGGAGTCCACCTGGCATGTTTGAAGTTGCAGCCAAAGGTAGGTCGCAGGGAATAGGTTGCCAGAGTGGAAAGAGAGATGACATGAAAATCTATCTGGAGGGAGAGTCCAAGGAGGAGAGTGCAGGTCCTTGATAGGTCTTGGTTAAGTCTGGCCATGCTGCCCAGAAGGGTGCCCTGGTCTTGCTGGCTGCCTGAGAATGAAGCCCATTTCCAGAGTGGCAGAGCAGAGAGAGGGGAGGGCCCTGGGTTCCTGATGGCATTGTAGAACACAGGAATCAGCTGATCCTGGAGCTTCTTTCTTTCTCTTTCTTTCTTTCTCTTTCTTTCTTTCTTTCTTTCTTTCTTTCTTTCTTTCTTTCTTTCTTTCTTTCTTTCTCTCTCTCTCTCTCTCTTTCTTTCTTTCTTTCTTTTTCTTTTCTTCTTCTTTTTTTTTTTTTGAGATGGAGTTTGACTTTGTTACCCAGGCTGGAGTGCAGTGGCGCGATCTCGGCTCACCGCAATCTCCTCCTCCTGTGTTTAAGCAATTCTCCCGCCTCAGCCTCCTGAGTAACTGGAATTACAGGCACGTGCCACCACGCCCAGCGAATTTTTTTATTTTTTTTATTTTTAGTAGAGACGGGGTTTCACCATGTTGATCAGGATTGGTCTTGATCTCTTGACCTCGTGATCCACCTGTCTCGGCCTCCCAAAGTGCTGGGATTACAGGCTTGAGCCACCGCGCCTGACCCCTGGAGCTTATTTCTTATTATTTCACTTATTTGAAGCTGGAGTTGCTGTTTCTTGCCCTCAGAGGCAGCCTAGCACAGATAATTACCTCCCAGAACCTAGTCATCCCCGCATAGTGTGTTTTGTACTGAAATAATAGACTACGTGAGACTGGGTAATTTATAAAGAACAGAGATTTATTTCTCACAGTTCTGGAGGTTGGAAATCCAAGATCCAGGCACCAGCAGGTTTGGTGTCTGGTGAGTGTTTAGTGTTTGGTGTCTGTCTCTGCTTCCAAAATGGGGCTTTGCATGTTTCATCCTCTGAAGGGGAGGAACACTCTGTCCTCACATGCTGGAAAAGTGGGAGAGAACCCACTCTTATGACCGAAACACCTCACACTAGGCCCCACCTCCCAATACTCTTGCATTTGGAATTGAGTTTCAACATGAATTTTGGAGGGGACAAAACCGCCCAAACAAGAGCACCCTCCAAGAGGTTGTAGTAGCAGACTTTTTGAGAACTGATCACCTCCAGGTTTTATAAATTTTCCTCATTTTACTTGGTGCTTTGTCCCCTATGAGTATGTTAGACTGCTTTCTGCTGTATGTCATAGAAAACCTGATTAACAATGTGGACTGTTTACTGGTCTGGAGTGGGAGATCTCAGTGTTTTTGAAAGACCTAGGCTCTCTCCATTTTTCTGCACAGCCATCCTCAGCTGGTTGGCTTTTTGTCCATGGACTCGTAGTTTCATGGTTATAGAATGGCTGAAACAGCTCCAGACATCACATCTTCACGTGCTGGAGTTGCAGCCAAAGGCAGGTAGCAGGGAATAGATTGCCAGAGTGGAAAGAGAGATTGATATGATGCACCTGTTTGTTTTTTGCATCAGGAAGAAATCTCTCTTCTAGAACCTCTTCCTATACCTTTCTTGCCCCCAGACCTTCCCTTATACATCATCAGCCAGATCTGGGTTGCACTGGCAAAGCCTAGGCACAAGGGAGACTGGCAAAGTGAGTATCTGTCGTTTATCAGAGTCAGTGGTCCGGTCTGTAAAATAGGATTAAATTTAACTGCAAGGAACAAACACTTTAAACAGGAGAATAAATTATTTCTCACATAAAAGAATTTGTGCGTTAAAGGTGGGGTGGTAGACAATCTGTGGTTAGAACTGCAGATCCATGAGGTTGTTAGAGGTCCAGGCCTTTTCCAGATCTCTGCTCCCACATCCTGAGAGTGTGTCCCTTGCCCTCAGGGTCCAAGACGGGCACTAGCCATCAGCAGGGCTCCCTTTATGGATTTCCTAGAAGTCCTATAGGGCACTTCTGCCCTGTATCTTATTGGCAAGAACTTAGTTGCAAAGGAAGCTGGGAAATTTAGTGTTTACTCAGGGTAGCCATATGCTAAAATAAAACTCAGGATTTTGTTACTAAGGAAGAAGACTGCGTCTTACATTAGGTATCCTAGAAGCAGGTCCTGAAACAAAGATTGTTCCCAGAATAAATCAGTAAGGAGCTGGAAGGAGGATAGCCATGCAAGGATCTCAGACAGTTATATGACAGGTAGGTTCAGCCTGACCTGAGGGGGAGCTCTCATCTAAAGGATGCCTCTGAGATGTCCCTGCCCCAGGCAGGGTATCTGGGCTTCCATTCTTCTATGCCTGTCAGCCACTGGCTAAGGGCTACCCTCAGTGATAACCCAGGTACTTCAGTCTTTCTATAGATGGGCACAAAAGGGCAGTAGCACAAGAACAGCCCATCCAGAAGAGCTGCAGGACCTCAGGTCAAAAGCAAAAACATGCTAAGTGAGAGGGCAGACTCAGAGAAAGGGATCCAGGAATCTCTGCAGAGCCCCAGTGGGGTCCCTGCAGGGGTAATGCCTAGTGGGAAGGAAGTAGCCACCTCTGTTACTGAGGCAAGGAAGAGAAGGGCAGGAATGGCTGATAGTGGCCAACAGGCAACCTGTGCAGCACGTGTGCAAGTTCCTGCCTATGTGATGGTGAGAATCATGGAAAGTCAAAAGCAAGAGGGAAGACAGAAAAGACCAGGAGACCAAGTGCTGCTGTGTGAGCACCTGGAGACCTGTGCTGTGCTCAGGGCACTCTTCTGAGGTTAGCTATTTGAAATAGTGATAGCAGTTACAATGGGGGCAAATTGATGCTGATCAGGAACACATATGTAGACATTTAATTATGGTATTTATTTTATAAACAGGAATTTTCTAGAACACAGAATATTTCCTTTGCTGAGAAATGTCCATATTCTTTGTCTGCTTGATTTGTAGGTCTTTCAATATGAGGGAAATCAGGCCTTGATCTGTCATGGGTATCTGTATATTTTTTCTCGGTTCATAGATTTTGTGTGTACACGGATTGCTCTTCCTTGCCACATACTGTGTGTGGGGATTACATTGCTAACTGTCCAACACGTTCTCCAAAAGACCTGTCATCATATCCCACCCCCACCCAGGGCTGCTGGAAGACTGTGCCACATGGGAGGGGAGGAAAGTATCAGGCAGTAGGTTCTGCCCTAGCCTCTGCACAGGAGCAGATGTGTCCCCACAAGGGGGTCCTGTTATGTCCTGTTCCCTAGTTTCTTAGGCATTGCTCATGTTATCATGAGCATGTTAATTTAGAGAACTTACTTTGTGTTTAAGAAACCAATCCATATGTTTATTTCCACATGTGGATTGTAAACTCCTCCACGGCAGTGACACTGAATGTCTCATTTTCTACTCTGCATTCCCTGGAACAGTGCCTGGCACACAATATGCACCAATATAAATTTATTTAAAAGAATGAAGAGTAAAGGGCTATATAGCATATGCCACTATAATGACTTTTAATCATATGAAAAGATACTCAGTACAGAAGGTGAGAGGGGAAATTGATATTTCCCCTGTTTGGTGGGCTGTTTGCAATATGTATTGAAATTGGAAATGCATACCGCCTTTGACCCAGCAATTCCACCTTTAGAGTTTATAAGAACCATAAATCCATGCCTGTACATAAAGAAGTATGTGCAAGGACGTTTACTTCCACATATGGACCGTAAACTCCTCCACAGCAGTGACACTCTTGTTTTCTACTCTACATTCCCTACAACAGTGCCTGGCACACAATAGGCACCAATACAGATTTTTTTTTTTAAAGAAGAGTAAAGGGCTGGGAAAACACCTGTGTTTCACAGTTGAATAATTATGGTACCTCCATAGAATGGAATATTGTACAGTCATGAAGAAGATTACATATATATAATATCTGAGATGGAATCTGGCTCTGTTGCCCAGCAGACTGGAGTGCAATGGTGCAATCTTGGCTCACTGCACCCTCCACCTCTCGGGTTTAAGCAATTCTGCCTCAGCCTCCCAAGTACCTGGGACTACAGGTGTGTGCCACCACACCTGGCTAATTTTTGTGTTTTTAGTAGAGTTGGGGTTTCACAGTGTTAGCCAGGATGGTCTTGATCTCCTGATCTTGTGATTTGCCCACCTTAGCCTCCCAAAGTGCTGGGATTACAGGTGTGAGCCACCAAGCGCAGCGAAGAAGAGATATATTGAGGCGTGTGTGATACTGAACCATCTCAAAGTATAATGTTAACAGCAAGGTGTAGAGCAGGTCAAGTAGTAAGCTGCTGTTTGTTTAGAAAGAAAATAATAACATACATAAATGTGGAAATGTGCAAAAACTGCCTCTGCAAAGGTTTACTGGAAATTGCCAATATAGAATGACAGAAAAACTCTTACTGTAGGCTCTCTTTTGTGGTGGTGTTTTTTTTTTTTTTAATGTGTGTGCAACGTATGTTACCTATTCTAAAAAAGTAAGTAAATGAGGTGCTGTTTCCCAGTGCACTTCAATCAGTTTCTCCCATGGTAGAGAGGATCACCACAGGGGATTTACAGTTCTGTCTGCCCGCGGAGCCAGAGGAAGCCGGCCTTGCTTGCCGTGTAGTTCCAGCTTGTCCTCCTTTCTCTGAGTCTTGCCTCGCCACACTCTTTCTTCCCTCGGACCAAGTCATGTTTCCCCACGTTGAAACTTCCAGGGAAGGAGCTGCTGAGCAAATTCATAGTGTAGTGTCAGTGGCTGCCATGGCTCACTGCGTTGCTCCTCTCAGGAGTATTGTCATTTAAATAGGGACAAGGTCTTGAGCCAAAGACCTAAGATCTGACTGAACAGACTTGCAGCATTGGCTCCTGTGCCCTGTGCTAGGGAGAGGCATCCAGCATCCCCTAAACAGCCGTGCTTGCCACCTTCTATCCCCTTGACTACATAAAGAGGCCAGAGAGCAGGGGGAGGGCTCTGAGAGGCATTGGCTGTTTATTTTCCTTGTCTTAACTAACTCTGGCTGCCTTAACAAATACCGCAGACTGGGTGGCTTAAACTGGAGAAATGTATTTTCTTATGGATTGGAAGCTGGGAAGTCCAAGATCAAGATGCTGGCTGATTCATTTCCTGGTGAGGCCCCTCTTTCTGGCATAGCCTGGAACTGCGTGCTCACAGCAAAGATGGAAGCAGCAAGCCTCCCGTGTCTCTCTCTCTCTTTTTTTTTTTTGAGACGGAGTCTTGTTCCTTCACCAGGCTGGAGCACAGTAGCGCAGTCTCGGCACACTGCAACCGCCACCTCCTGGGTTCAAGCAATTCTCCTGCCTCAACCTCCCAAGTAGCTGGGACTACAGGCACTGACCACCACACCCAGCTAGTTTGTGTATTTTTAGTAGAGATGTGGTTTCACCATGTTGACCAGGATGGTCTGGATCTCGAGCTCGTGACTTGCCCGCCTCTGCCTTCCAGAGTGCCAGGATTACAGGCTTAAGCCACCTCGCCCAGCCTGGTGTCTCTTCTTAAAAGGACACTAACCCCATTATGGGGTTAGAATTCCGGTTAGACTTCAACTAACCCTAATTGCCTTCCAAAGGCCCCACCTCCAAACATCATCACAGTGGAGGTTAGGGCTGCAACACATGAACTGAGGGGGGGGGCACAACTCAGTCGACAGCAAACCCCTGGCAGAGGGCCTGGGATGTGTCTTCCCGGCAGATGAGAGTACTGGGCAAGACGAGACGAAGTGGTTGCCTCCAGAGAAAGAAGGGTATGGTGACACTGCCATCCTGGCTACCCTTGGCCACTCCAGCCTATGGAATGTAGGAGGGCCCAGGAGCCAGTTCCCATGCACCTCAGGCCCCATATTCTCTTAGCCAAGCCCTGAGAATATATCAAGAAGAGGTGAGGGCATGTGGACACAGGTGTGGGGAACTCCCAGCAGCTGGTCCCTCTTCCTGCTAATTCTGCTCTGATTTTCACCTTTGCTGGCCTCTCTCCAGTGCTGCTGAACACACCTCATTCTGGTGGCCTGCCTGGAGGGAGACAGTGTGACGTGGTGGGCTCAGGGACAGTCTCAGGACCCTATTTGGACAAGTAAGTGGGGAGAAGCGGTTGGGGGAGTCGGAGGGAAGCTCTTGCTCTTCTGAGAGTATGTGCTCTCCCCTCCTCTGCCACGCTATGAGAGGAAGCCTGTCCCATAGAAGTTGCTGGTGCCGTCTTGCCTTTCCCAGGAAAGAATGATCAGGTGGTGTCGACTCAGTGGAAGGCAGAGATGAGGCCTGGAAAGAAGCCAAGCCCCTGGGGAGGGGGGTGTTACTAACCCACTGGACCATGACCCATCTGAGGCCTGCCCTGTCTCTAAACGTTTAGTTATAAGAACCAGTAAGTCAATTGTACAGTTAAAGCCAGCCTGAGTGTGTTTTTGTAACACTGGTTGAAAATTCCTAATGGGTTGCTGAGGCAGTTAGTATCGGCAGGAACTAGAGATCTAGGGCTGCCTCGTACTGAGGGTGGGAGGTGGGAGGCGACGGGGAGACTGTGCCGCGGTGGTGGAAGCCAAGCACAGTCTCTGGACACCACAGCTGCTACCTGCCTTGGGACCACCATTATCTTCAGAATCCACCAATTTTGGGATTACCCAAGTAGAGAAGGGATATTTCCCTTCACCAACAACTCCCAGCCATGGCAGTAGTGCCTTGTCAGCCACAGGAGCCAGGCCAAGCCATGACCCCAGGTCAGAAGTGACTGCTCCCAGGCTGGACAAGCATCTGTTTCCATTTGAGCACCATCTCTCAGCTCCACAAGCTCTGCTGCTCTCTCTAAGGCTGTGAGGGAGAGTAGGGTTGGGGGGAGACAGGAAAAAAGACCACGGGGAAGGAGAAGGAATCCCTAAGATAGAGGCTTTAACCTACATCATGGATGAGAGTCACACCAGAGAAGACAACAGAATCACCGGGGTGGATGTTGTATTTTGCAAAGGAATCCTTAATTGAGACGCTTCTCTCTCCCTGCCCCTGCCCTCACCAGTGTAAGCACCCACATAGGGGCTTGGAAAGCAAAGCTGATATCAGTTATTAGAAAAGATAAAAACATCTCCTCTTTGTGCATGAGGGTGACTGCCCAAGGTACTACCAGAAGCTTCTTCCTTCTAGATGTGCATGTAGAAGGATGTGCACACAGACCATCTCTGGAGGGACAAATCAGAACCGACTAACAATGGTTAGGGAAATGGAGGGATGCTTGGGGTCAGAGGGGCTTTCTCTAACTGTTAATTAAGTCTTTGGGTTCTTTTCTGTTATCATTTGTAGGTAACACAGTAGCTCAGAGAGTAGACTTGCAGCCAGGCTGCCCGGTTTGTAGCCCAGCTTGCCCTGTGTGATCTGAGGTGAGTTATTTCACCTGTCTGTGCTTCTGCGGTACCTCCTACCTCACTGAGTTGTTTGTGAGGAGCAGACAACTCACTATCTGTGTATACATAAAGCATGTAGGACAATGCCTGGCACAAAGTAATGGCTATGTGATTGCTGTTATTATTATTGCCATTAACTTAAAAATTAGATATAATCTTGAAAAAATGCAGTCACCTGTGGATTTTTTTTTTTTTTTCCACAAAGGATGAGAAGGGATGGCAGGGACTGAAACCCGCTGGGCCATTAAGTAAAATCTCAGCTATTACTTGTAGCTCCTGTAATCTAATCTTTTATTAGAACCATTTGCAGTTAAGAAAATATGAATCTGTAACCGTTTTAGGTCTTCCCCTTGGCAGAGGTGAGGTTGGGTAAGGTTGGCAAGAAGAATATAGATAATCCAGCCTTAACTATTGAAATCTGATTAACCAAAGCAAGGGTTTGACAGAGATGATTCTTGTCTCAGAGCTTGGGAACCAGAATGCTGGTGGAGAAAAGGCAGCTCTCCTGGTTCCTTGGGCCTGTATTTGCATGCTCTGAGGGGGCCTCAGCTTTTGTTTGGTGAAGCCCTGTAATGCTACACATTTACCATGCTGTGTTCCCGAAGCCCTTGTAGGAAGGCACTTAACTGTCCGCAGAAAGAATAGAACCCCTGATCAATGGAGCGAGCTGATCAATTCCCAGAGCATTTGGCTTACTGGTCTCTCCTGTGAAGGTGCTTGGGACTCATAGGGGGAATTCACAGTGTCCTAAATATTGTGGCTGTAAGCTGCCTGGGGTTTATGTGGCTGTGTTGAGTCCCCAGCGATGGTATTTTGCTTTAGGAGCAAGACCCAAGGCTTGGAGCCTTCGGCATTATGCTCACTTCCCACCAGACTCTCAGCAGGAAGGCAAAGGTGGCAGTGCAGAGGATCCCAGAACCTGGATCTGGGCTGCAATGGAACAGCTAACTAGAGTTTTTTGAATCCATGAGATTAAAGAAGAAGCCTTTCCAGCTTGAATCTAGTGAGACTGAATTCTTTGGGGATGCAGAACTGGAGATGAGGTTCTTTCTAAAAGAGATGCCACAGAAAACAGGGTGGTTGCATTTATTCCTGTCACCAAGGAAAGATTTCACATGACATAGTTTAGGTAGAGACTGATAAGGATGTGTTTGGAAGTGCCAGCACCCAAGGGAATAAGGTAATCAGCCCTGTCCAGGAGAGCTTTCTGATGGCAATGATCCATACCTGCATTAGCTACATGTGGCTGCCAAGTGCTTGAATTATGGCCAGTGCAGTCTAAGGACAGAATTTTTAATTGTATTTAATTTAAATTGACTTAAATATATATAGCCATGCATATTTCCATGGTGGCTGATGATTACTGTAGCCTACAGCACAGTTACAGACAACTAACTTTTCCCTGTAACACTTTGTTTGGGAAGAGAAGGGGCAAGTAATATTTTGGAGAGCTGTTTCAGACATGATGCTATATGCTTTCTCTTACAGAAAAGTCTTGTTTAATCTCCACAAGTTTGAGAACTAAACTGGGTGCCAGAGGGAAGTGAGTTGCCGAGGTTGCATCAGTAATAAGGGAACGGGGAGGGGGGATTCAAGCTCAGGTATGGCCCACCCAAGTTCTGCTTGTACATTCCACAGCTAGGGAGACTCTAATGGACTTAAGGGTTTAGATTACAGCAGCAAAGTGAATTAAGGGCCAGGAAATGTGGCTTTGTTGTTAGGGAAGTTGAGATTATTTCACTTCAAGAGAAGAATACTGAAGAAGTCAGTTAATCTTTAGAACTACATTCAAAGATCGTTTCCTTTTTTTTTTTTTTCTTGATATGGAGCCTCACACTGTCACCTGGGCTAGAGTACAGTGGCATGATCTCAATCCACTAAAACTTCCACCTCTTGGGTTCAAGTGATTCTCCTCCCTCAGCCTCCGGAGTAGCTGGGATTTCAGGCACCCACCACCACACCTGGCTAATTTTTTGTGTTTTCAGTAGAGAGAGGGTTTCACTGGCCAGGCTGGTCTTGAACTGTTGACTTCAGGTGATCTGCCTGCCTCAGCCTCCCAAAGGGATTACAGGCATGAGCCATTGCGTCCAGCCTCAAAGATCATTTCTTAGAGAAGAACAGCAGCTGGCTGTCTCTGTCACCATTAAAGAACACTACATTCTATTCTGGTTTACATGGGGGCTGTGGAAGGATGTGATAAAGCTTTGTTTCTGACACTGGCACATTTCTCTTTACATCCCAGGGAGTCTGGTTGGACTTCAGGCCCCTGTGAGACTAACTCTGTGGTCCTGGAGGAACTCAACAGCCAGAGATTTAGGACCATTTGTGTGTGACATTTTAGGACCATCTTGGCTAACCAGACTGGTGGCTTTTAAAGAAGATGGAAAGCATCAGGTTTCCTATATTTAAATTACTTGGTGATCTCAATACTTGTTGTTAGCAGAAGTTCACAATGGAGACAGCCTATTTGCTCCACTAGTCTTGATGTAGTGTTATTACTAAGCTTGAGCTGATTAACAGAATCGTTACACAATGTTGTGCTCCCCTTACTTATGGCATGAAACAGTTCTTTTAAAACCTGCCATGTGTTCACATTTAAAGCTAAAAGTAATTTAGATTACATGGTTTTGAGAAGTCCATGTTGACACATAAGTGCCAACAGATGGGTTTTCAAATGTAATGAAGTGAAAATGGTCAGTACTCCATGTGGTGGTTTTTGCAATTTTCCAAAGTAAGCCCTGATTTTTGGCGTGTCATGCTAGTTAAGAACACAATGTCTTTATAGCTTAATTATACATTTTTCTGACAAATTTGGAGTGGCATTTTGTTTTTCCATCAGTCACTTAAGATAGGACATTTGCCATTCCAAGAATGAATTAACACTCTTCTAAGTGATCTATAAACTGAGATGTAAAATAAATTACAAATTGGGACTGTTTTAGTTTTTCAAGCAAAGGGTATTTAAATAAAGCTTGAAATCATAAACCTTATTTCCTGTTTGAGAGGATGCTATATTCAATACAGAGCAAAATAAAGGTTTAAAGTTTTTTTTCCTGCAAGAAGAGTTAGAATCTTATGTTCTTCAAATAAAATCTCAAGGCAAATTCATAACACTTGTTAATATTTGTATGCCATGAACTTTCTGGAGTGATTGATTTATGCAGTTCTGTCTATGACACTGGCATTAATCAGTCAAATTTTTGCAGAGTGTGTTATCAAGGCAAACCAAAACCAACTCCTCATACCATAGAGGAAGGCATCTGCCCACACGTGACAGTCTAGACACACGTGTCCACTAACAGGACAGTGTGTTAGAAAGCCCTTATTCTATTTTCCTCTCTTCACCATTATTTCCACAGGGTGCAGAGCAGGGCATATGTATGATAGTGAGAACAGAAGTACTGATAAATAAATCACCTAATAGACAACACAATCACCTGGATGACTTAGAATACATGAATACGTACAGATAGAGGTTGGTTGAATCCTTGCAATGTTCTTCTGATGGTGCTGATTTGTGTGTGGTTAGTTGTTAAAATCTGGAGCTCTTGCAGGGAGGATGATTGCTGCAGGCTTCTATTCAGCCATCCTGCCCCTCATTCCTTGGAATGTAACATGCGGTGGGTGGATCTTCAAGTCCAGAAGCAGAAAAGCTGGATTTGTGGGCGTTCAGAAGAGTCAGCAAGTTGTGAGAATAGTAAGGGGCAGACTGGTCTAGGCAGAAGATGTGGCCTGAGAGAATGAATTGTAGGGAAGACCACACAGCAGCAGTAAACTGGCTGGAATCGCACCAGTGGCTACTTGGCAGTAAAAGGAAAAGGTGGAAGACCTTAAAGCCCAGCAATGGGCATTTGCTCTTAGAGGCTTCTCTAAAGTTCCTGCACACCTGGCCTGAAAAGCGCCTTCTCTGCACAGGATGACTTGGGTTGGATTATTTTTTTGAAACAAATGCTAGTGTAAAAGTGTTTTTCTCTTCATTGGTAAATATCAGAATTATGATCAGGCTTTAGGATAAGAAGGTACTATTGCTGGCTAAAATGAAATTCTATCTTTTGACTGTTAAAGGACAATGAAGGATGGTACAGGGCAAAGAGCTCTGGTCTGAGACTCAGAAGACATGGGGTCTAGTCCCAGCTCAACCACTCAAACTGGCTCAGTCTCTTTAGTATAAAATGCTGGGTGTGGGATGAATTACATGGTAATCACAGGGAGCTGCCAGTTTGAAACACCATAGTTTTTATTCTCTTTTCCCTATGCCTACCCAGTGGAGAGAACTTGGCTAAGTTGTCCTTTTCTTTGCACTAATCTCAGTAGCATCTTCCCACCTCCTGAAAGGATTCTTGTGCCCTCTTACTGTCATGCAGGTATCATGCATGGCCTTATTACCAGATATTTTAAAGTAAAAAAAATCCAAACCCCAAAAGATCAGTAGTTTAATTGATATGCTTATTGTCTGAACTAAATGAAATGAATATCTGGAATTTGGTAAGTGAGATGACTCCTATTTTAAATTGTAAGTAAACTGATGTGGCCGTCAGCGTGATCTAGGATACGCTGCAGTAACAGTGTCTACGTCTCAGGACCTAAGATAGAAAGGGTTATTTGTTGCTCTTATCACAAGTCCGTTATGGGTTGGCTGGGGGTTTTACCATAGCATTGTCAGTGTTCTTATTCCACAGGGCAGGCCAGTGGAGCAGCTGCGTCTGGAGCATTTCTTGTTGCTATGACTAAGGAAAAAGAGAACAGGGTGAATTATGCTTAGGCTCTTAGAGTTCCTGTTCAGGAGTGATACATGTTACTTCTGCTCACCTTTTATTGACCAAAGCATGTCACAGGCTATGCCTGACTTCTTCAGGGGGTGGGAAGGTACAATACCATCATGTTCTCCAGGAGGCGGAGAGCTGGAAGTATGTGGAACAGCACAAATGCTTACCACAACAGTGACTGCTGTGCTAGACCCAACCTCATCGGAGCAG